GTTATTTCATAAGACAAAAAGACAATAAAAAAAAAAAGAAAAAATACAAAAAGCATAAAAGACACTTGTAACTTTTTATTATTAAAACTTTTAAAATATCAATTTTGTAAAACTCAACTATCGTTAAGCAAACAGATCTTACTAGAAAAGGAAAAGAGAAACTGCCTTGGAATTTTTTCCCAATAAGCTGGAAAAAGGTTTAGTGAAATAATGAATAATTCAAGATAATTATATCATTGTAGAAATCTGTAACTAATCTATCCATAGCTTATCAAGAATTCAGTATTCATGTTTTAGGTTTTCAGGTATATCTAACATTCTATTATTTCAGGTATACCTGGCATTCTATTATCTTTTTTCATTTTTCTTCACTAAACAATAGGGAACCTACAGAGGCTTCTTGAGACGCAATATTTTTTATCTCAAGGCATCCTCTGTATATAAATCTTTATCTTCCGAAATATTCACAAATTAAAGTTAACTTAGGTTGTTCGAGAGATTAGTCGAAATCTTTTCATGAATTCAAGCTAAAACTATGCAGATACTAAATTTTTTATTAAAAATCACTTTATTAAAAATCCATGATTTACCGACAAAATGTAATCTAAATATTAAATTTGAATTGTGGGAACAATTTAAATTAACACAATATAATAATTTCCACTTAGATTTCATCATAGATGTCGTTTAAACGTTATTATAATGAGATTAATCTTTCATTCTCAACTGTCAGATTTCGACTTTTCCTTGGAAACGAAGCAGGTGTTCCTTTCAACAGATGAAAAGGTGGCATTTGTTTCTATACAAGAATTATTGAATTCGCGTTTGACTTACCTGCGCCGCGTGGCCGCTCGGCGAGTTCTCCGATAGCGTGTTACCGTTAGCGGGAGTCATGGACGCAGCATATTCTGCAAAGAAAAAAGAAAGAAAAACCCCCGAAATATAGACGTATAAACACACACGGGATACATCGCGAGTGCATCGTGGGGAAAATCAATAGAGCCATTTCGTACTTGTCTGATCCGATTGTTGGTTGTTATTTAACAATGCCAGTCCGTTTGACATGGTGCACTCCTCGCCGATCTCCTAGGACCGAGGAGTCGGAGGGGAGGGGGGGAGGGAAGGAGAAAGACCCTAGCGGGTGTACACACGGGGGTACGATCGGCGGGCAGACGGGTGTGCGTTGCGCGACGTCGTTTCGACGACCAAGGCTTCGCAGCCTCCGGTTATTCTGGCATCCCGAAAATCCGCAGCGCCATTGCTGTTTTTTTTCGCATAATCGACCTAACCTGATCCCCCAGAGAGGTGGCCCGAAGGCGAATCACCTTATCGTCGTCCTCGAGAGTCGCGGCTGGCTTCGCCTTCGCCTCGCGGGCTAACCTTATAAATCGTGCGTTTTCTCTCTTTCTCTCTCTCTCTCTCTCTCAGCACGTTCCGTCTCAGGGCGAGCAAAACGAAACACGTATCTGCGCGAGTACAACGCGACGTGTGAGCCCTTGCGTTTAGCCCCTCGAAATATATATTCACTCGCATCCACCTATGTCGCTCGCATCGGTGACGTTTTTAGGGCGCTGTGAGCGGCGTCCTCGTGTGCTATGACTGGACGCTGCGTCGGAATGGGATGGAAGGTGGGGACGGGTATGGAGATATACGGATTGAGCTTCTCCCTGGAAAGATAATTCTTAAAAGATAAAGGAAATTTAGAGGAAAAAGAGAAAAGATACAAAAGATCGACAAAAAGTCGTTTCGAGAAGAGATTTGAGATTTCACGCTTCGACCGTGTTCTCGATCGCGTTCCGATGTTTTTATGTGCAACGTGACCAATTCTCGGAAAAACATGTGCGACTGACCATTTTCGATTTCCTTAAGTATGTTGGAAGAACAATCGTTTCCGATTTCACACGAGACTTTAGATATTTCGATTTCTACGGAGAAATAAATACAAAAGCATCCATTCGGTGAGGAGAATCGAGAGAGAGAATTTCCCGTCTTTCTCTTCCGGAACATTCAATCCGAAATTGCAATTATTCCGAAAATATTTTTGAAATTTGTATATCTTTTGTTAAAAGATTTCCTTACGCATTTGCATACGTATTGCAGTTTCTCAAGTATAACATAAATTTCAACAGCTATAAAATCCTAAATTAATAAAGTTCCGAGATTAAAATACCCAACAAAAAATTTTCCTTATATAATATAAATGTGACGTAATTACGTATAGAACATGTCCATAAAACAAAAACATAATTATACATAATTATATATTTTTATATGGACACATCTGATACATGACACTTCATATATACATATATCTAATTATATATGGAAAATCTTTTACCAGATACTCTCTCCTACATTCCAAGGTGGCGAAGCGAAATTCTACCTAAAGCGGAAAACTATTTCTTCTCAACGTCTGCCTCCTATACAGACATTGTAACGTATTAATTATCTCGCTTATTACCAAGCGGAGGATCTTTCTCTTTCTACCTACCAGCCATATCTTCGCACTTCCTCACTATAGCTTCAACATACGCGGCGTCGCGCATCCCGCGCCGCGTGATCTCGTTGTATATGATAGCGAAGATGTCCGGATCGTCGGCAAACAGACTGTAGTTGAAACACTTGACAATCATCCTTAGGCTCATATGATTGATCAAAAATTGCAACTTCTGCAGTAGACCCCTGCGCGGTAAACTGGCCAAATTGGCTCGCCACCTGACGTTGCACACGCGGTGAAGATGAGCAGAACGCTGCGCTATCATCCGGGTTATCGTGATCACGATCTCATAGAGATCCTTCCATTGTACGTACATCTTATATCTCATAAATAAACACACACACACACACATACACATACACACACGCGCAAGATAAATCCGCCTCTATATCGGGGCGAGGCGGAGGCGAAAAACGGAAACAAAGAAATCTCAACACACGCGGAATCCAAACGCGGGCGCTTCACTTTCACTAATACTTACGGATACTTAATAAATAACGCGGGTATCTCAGTATCTTACATTTCCTTTAAAAACGTTTCTCGCGCGATAACGATAACGGCAAATTGATACGATTCGGTATCATCCGCGATGTGTCCGGGATATACAAGAAAAAAAAAAGGGAGGGGGGGGAAGAAATCACATCAATTTGCCGCTATTGTTACGGCAAAACAACTCTCTATGGCTCTTAGATCGACACCGTTCACATATCTTCTCCATACGTTCATCCGCGAGCGATAATCCACGACGCGTTCCGCCCGAGGAGGGCAAATCCCGACAAATCCCGTATGCGATGTAAACATCATATATACGTATATATCCTTTATTTCTAAACATTACGCTTCAATAGCGGTCTTACCGTACGTCAGGGGTGTATATAGGTTGAGAGGAACGAATTTTTGGCGCCTATATGCTCGGCCTCGTCGCCTTCTTTGGCTCCTCATGTCGAATAGATACTATTTGGAATTTAAAAAGAAATCTCGTGACTGCATTCTCGGTATAGATCCCGATATATGAGTGGAGAGTTCCGTAGAACAAATACTCCTATAGGCGCAGCATCTAAGCTATTGGCTAAAAAAGAAAAGAGAAGGGGAGTTTCTTCAAAAGTGCATTTTGGGTAAAAGTATACAACAGTACAGCCGATATTCGTAATCTTTAAGATTATTTTAAATATGGCTATCTTATTGGTTAAATATATAATTGGTTAAAAATATAATCTCAAGGACAAATGTAAGTTAAATGTAAGAGTCGATTATATGAATGTCGGATTATGAAAATCTCCTTCTAGTACTCTCTACTTTAGAAATAGTTACTATGTTCGAGCAAATGATTCAAACAGTTATTTTTTATGAATAAACTTTCTTGTAATTACGATTTTGAATTTTCTAGTCAATAGGAATTAATGAAATAGTAGGTTTAGGCTCCAAGTTTTATCATTTATTTTTCAAGATCACTGATATTTATTTATCTCTAGATACAAAATACAAATGGATTTTAATATTTTATTTATTTTTAGTTAAAAATAAATATCACAAAAAAATTACACTAGATATATTTTTTTCTACTAGAGTGTATAACTATTTCAAAAGATCAATGAAAATTATCTACAAGAGATAAATCACGAATTATGAACATCCTTTAACATTCTTCAACATAAATAATGATAAAATATATAAATACAATATATGGCGAACAAGTTTTGTGCCACCATTGCTCCGTAAAAATGGCGAGGAAATGTTATCTCTTTCTCATTCTTTCATTCTCGCGTTCACGCTTCTCTCGCATTCACGCCTGCGCAATGATGTGCGAAATGTCGCACGGCATTATACTTAACGATTTCAATTTTATCTGTCTATTTATAATGAAAAAATACATATATATAATTATATAAACAAACAAAATTTTATCTTTATCTTTCTTACTCCTCTGTATCAGCTGTTTGATAATGAATTTGATAATTTTTTAAGAAATTTTAATACGTTCTAATACGTTTCTAATACAATTATAAAGAAAAAATAAGTCTATTCCTTTTTTTCAAAAATATAATCACTAATAGGAAATCATAAACAATTTTTGCTCGTATCACACGCACACACACACACACACACACACACACACACACACACACACACACACACACACACACACACACACACACACACACACACACACACTACA